CCGAATTCCCTAAATTCCCGAATTCCCACGTCCCGAATTCCCTAAATTCCCAAATTCCCACGTCCCGAATTCCCCAGATTCCCAAATTCCTACGTTCCCGATTTCCTACGTCCCGAATTCCCTAGATTCCCGAATTCCCACGTCCCGAATTCCCTAAATTCCCAAATTCCCACGTCCCGAATTCCCCAGATTCCCAAATTCCCACGTCCCGAATTCCCCAGATTCCCAAATTCCCACGTTCCCGATTTCCCACGCCCCGAATTCCCTAAATTCCCGATTTCCCACGTCCCCAATTCCCTAAATTCCCGAATTCCCACGTCCCGAATTCCCACGTCCCGAATTCCCTAAATTCCCAAATTCCCACGTCCCGAATTCCCCAGATTCCCAAATTCCTACGTTCCCGATTTCCTACGTCCCGAATTCCCTAGATTCCCGAATTCCCACGTCCCGAATTCCCTAAATTCCCAAATTCCCACGTCCCGAATTCCCCAGATTCCCAAATTCCCACGTTCCCAATTTCCTACGTCCCGAATTTCCACGTCCCGAATTCCCTATATTCCCAAATCCCTACGAGCCAAAATCCCTAGGTTTCCAAATTCCTACGCCCCAAAATCCCTAGATCCCCAAATCCCTATGTCTCGAAATCCCTAAATTCCCAAAACTCTACGTCTCGAAATCCCTAGCCTCCCGAATCCCTAAATTCCCAAATTCTTACGTCCTTAAATCCAAAGAGATTAAACGACTTCAGAAAACGCGTCTCATCATAAAAATCATTTTCCGCGTTATTACGTGCGATCTCTTAATCGAAAAGACAAGTCCATCGTTCCTCACATGAAGCACTAGATCTATCCACCCCTGTTTACGATATCTCGATCGCGTTGATATCGCGAGATAATAGTCACGTCTTTCGTCGTGCTCCGAAATAGAGAGTCGTAAAACCGGACCGAAAGAGGGTGGAATAAATTCAGCGACGGATTGACGGCATTGCGAGCATCCCTCTTTTGCCGCGCTCATTAGGGAGGCCAGACAGAACCCGGGGAACATTTCTACGGGGAGAGGTGGATATCTGCTCGCCATATTTTACAGCGTTCGGTTATTGTTCCATCCAACTTTTGCCGACTACGATAAATCCTCGACTACCCTCTGCTGGGAGGTTCTTTTTTCTCGGCGGCGAGAAAGGGCTCGAAGCCTACACAGGTCGTCGAGGGAAAAGGGGGGGCAATTCGATGCTCACCTTCACCGTCAAGTTCCCGATGGGGAAAGTCTTGACGACCGGGGTCTCGTTCGGGGCATAGCGATAAAACTCTCGACCCACTTTGTACCACTTGACGGCGTATAAAGGATCCCCTTCGGTGTCGTACCAGCAGTTCAGTATCGCCGAGTCACCTTTCTTCACGGCCGTCGGTATCTGGATGCGCACCTCTCGCAGGCCGGAGCAAATTCCTGCAACAGACGGTCCAGTTTTTATCGTCAAACGATTAATTACAGAGGGGATGTAGGGAAACGATAAATAAACCTCTGGGTGATCTTTGTTGCTTTTTGCCGAGGAAAGGACACGCGATCGCTATCGCAAAATATTCGTGCGCATCGGAAACTAGCTAACGGGGTCGGTATTGACCCGCCGAGGGTCGATGAAGTTTTAAAGGGGTCAATGATGATCAACGAGTCGTTTGAGGGTGACTCGAAATTTTAAAGGGGGTCAATGATCAACGAGTAACGTATGCACTCTCGGCATATTTTGGCGATTATAAAATTAAGTCAAATTGATTATTTTGTATAAACTTGCAGGATAATTTTGAAGGTTTGTCAGACTGCTCATGATTATAATGTTTTAAAAAAGCTGAAATGTTCGCGCGCCATAATTTCACACATAGTAATTCCACGCGTCATATTACCACATACTATAATTCCACGTGTAGTTATTCCACGCGTTGTAATTCCACGCAATAGTACTTTCATGCGTTGTACTTCCATGAGTTGTAATTCCACGTGACGGTATCTCCACGCGCTGTAATTCCACGTGACGGTATTTCCACGTGCTATAATTTCACGCGTAGAAATTCCACGCGTTATATTACCACGTATTGTAACTCCACGTGTAATTATTCCACGCGTTGTAATTCCATGCAATAGTACTTTCATGCGTTGTAATTCCATGAGTTGTAATTCCACGTGACGGTATCTCCACGCGCTGTAATTCCACGTGACGGTATTTCCACGCGCCATAATTTCACGCATAGTAATTCCACGCGTCATATTACCACGTATTGTAACTCCACGTGTAATTATTCCACACGTTGTAATTCCATGCAATAGTACTCTCACGCATTGAATTTCCTCGCGCCATAATTTCACGCATAGTAATTCCACGCTCATGTTACCACGTATTGTAACTCCACGTGTAATTATTCCACGCGTTGGAATTCCATGCAATAGTACTCTCGCGCATTGAATTTCCACGCGCCATAATTTCACGCATAGTAATTCCACGCGTCATGTTACCACGTATTGTAACTCCACGTGTAATTATTCCACGCGTTGTAGTTCCATGCAATAGTACTCTCACACATTGAATTTCCACGCGCCATAATTTCACACGTAGTAATTCCACGCGTCGTATTTCCACGCCCCGTAACTCCACGCGTACTTATCCCACGCGTTGCAATTCCACTCAATAGTACTCTCATGTATTAAATTTCCATGCGTTGTAATTTCACATAACAAAATTTGCTCGTACCACACCTTCACGCGTTGTAACTCCACGGGTCGTATTTCCACGTGTTATAACTCCCCGCGCTGTTATTCTACGCATTGTAATTCCTCACAACAGCACTCTCGTACACTATATTTCTACATTATAATCCTACGTGTCGCGTTTCTGTCTTCATTTATTTCTTGAAACGAAGTACACCTTTTTACTCAACCTTTGTCTAAATATTTGTATTATAAATATTTTCAAAAATGAATAAATAGAATACCCCGTATTAACAGATGTAACCAGAGTATACCTTTTCACTTAACTATTACCTAAATATTTGTATGATAAATATTTTCAAAAATGAATAAATAAAACACCCCGTATTAACAGATGTAACCAAAGTATATCTTTTTACTTAACTATTATCTAAATATTTGTATGATAAATATTTTCAAAAATGAATAAATAGAACACCCTGTATTAACAGGCGTAAGCAGATGATTTTTGACATCATATTTAATCGTCCTCGATTAAGGTAAGTTAGTCAATGAAACGGATTTCATTGATCGTTAGTATCGTTTGTTTATGAACACACGCGACAACTGAATATAGAACGAAACAATTTGAAAAGCTTGCGGCTTTCGGAACGCGCGAAATTCGCCGACCGTGAAACTGTTAACAACGAGCACGTTCATATTTATTACAAATCTGGCAGGTGGGATTTGCATTTGTTATGAAATAATTCACACGGCATTGTACAGGTGCAACTGGGGCAAATTGTATCGTCGGTTTGAATGAAGGTGAGAAAAATAGCGGGAGGGGTTGAATTGTAGAGATCTATTTCGTCGCGACCTCGCTGTTTGGTAAACGCAATTGCATGCGATATAATGCGAGCATATCTTTCGCTTTTTCTTCTCTCTCTCTTTTACCCTTCTTTTCTTTTTTCGAACGCGTTCCTCGTTAAATCGCGTTGTAAAAAGCGTTAGGTTCGGAAAGGGAACGCTTCGAGAAATGTTTCGCATTCCGTCGCGAATTAACGAGACGAGTTGAAATTAATGCAGATAGACTTGCCGAGTTTTCTGAAGAGTTTCGCGGAGGTGGAAAAAAAAGAAGTTCGCATACATTATTTTCGCAGGCAAGGATAACGCTTCCTGGATGAGGTCCGTGAGATCGATTTTCTTCAATTATAAAGTACGCTTCTTTAAGGAAATCTGGGAGGATGTTGCGGCTGGGCTTGATAAACCTTGTTAAGAATTTGATAAATGTTGTTTCTGTGAAAATTTATAATGTAATGAGTTATGTCGACAGGTGTATTTCTTCGTCTTTAGATTTATGGATAAATACATCTACATTAAGTTTTGAATACTTGTATTAGTAGATTATTAGGCACCTGGACAGTCAGATATCAAGATGAGTACTTAGGAACCTAGATACCTGGATATCAAGATAGGTACATGGAGATCTAGATACCTAGATATCAAGGAGAAGGCGCGTTGGCTGTCGTGGCGAGCGCACGTGTTCGGGGGTCGCTCCGCGATAAATTACAATTTTTTGGTGGGAAAAGTGGTTTAAGTGAGATAAATAATGTTGTGAAGTGAGGGGAGACTGTGGGGGAAGTGGGCGGTGAAATTTTGTGAAAATCGGAAGTGGAATAGTGAAGTTATAAATAAAAAACGAAATTTCGGTAATGGCGACCTCCACGCGACGCGAGGAAAAGCATGGGGTGCAAACCCATGAGTAATCGAAAGCGAGGAAACGAGTGTTCGGACCGACCGCGGAATAAAATAAATATGTGCGCGACTTAAATACGATTATTTATATATCGCGAGTGAAATAGTGCAATTTAAGGGTGAAAGCTGCCCTCGAAGAAGGACTTGCGTGAACACGTGGTCGTGCGACATGTAGAAGTTGCGATAGAAAGTCGTAGAAATTAGATTAATTAATTATAATGCAAATGTCATTAGGGATTTAGAGTGCGGGAAAGGGCGAATGAGGCATACTGAATGCATGCGGTGATTAGTTTTGGCTATTTTTGTATTTTCTTGATAGTAAATAAATAATGGCGTCGGTCAAGCATGCTTCGATATATCGTACGAACACGTGGGCATCTCCGCGCGAGGGAAAGCGCAGAGCGTAAAGGCCGGTTCGCAAACATCCAGCATGGCCGGGGAAGGGTCGCTACAGGCGCATGGAGAGCGGCCCTTAAGGACGAAGCCTAAAGGCGAAGCGAAGGCACGCGGCAACAAGTAAGATGGCGGAGGAAGGATTGCCGCAAGCGCTCGGAGAGCTGCCTTCAGGGATGAAGCCTATGGGCGAAGCGGAGGCACGCGGCAACAAGCAAGATGGCGGAGACATGGCGCGTTTTT